CATCATCATCCATCGAAAAATTAAGAGTAAATTATAGCAATAGTCCCTCAACTTTAATCAAATTAAAGCAATGGTCTCTCAACTAAAAAGTTATTACCATTGATCCCTCAACTAATCAAAATGTGTAGCTAGGGTCATTTTTGTCAACTTCGTCAAAATTTTATCAAAATAAGTTATGTTGGAAGGACCATGGCTACAATTGAGGTTTCTCAACTCATGAAAACATGTAGCTATGGTCATTTTCGTCAACTTCGTCAGAATTTTGTTAAAATGAGTTATGTTGAAAAGACCATTGCTACAATTGGATTAAGGTGAGGGACCATTGCTCCAATTGGGTTAAAACTAAGGGACCATTTCTCCAGTTGGATTAAAGTTGAGGGACGAATGGTAATGAATTTTTAGTTGAGGGATCATAACTGCACGTTTTGATGAGTTGAGGAATGAATGATAATGAATTTTTAATTGAGGGACCATAGATGCATGTTTTGATGAGTTGAAGGACGAATGGTAATAAATTTTTAGTTGAAGGACCCTTTTACTCCAATTGAGTTAAAGTTAAAGAATCATTGTTACAATTTATTCAAAAATTAAGGTCACCAAATATTGGAGTTGATGAGGCTTATATATATATATATATATATATATATATATATATATTATCTCTTATGCTAAATTGTTTCAAGTATATAAATAAAAACAAATAATAAAGACTCAATTCAGACCATAATCTGGATCTATATCTTACGTGTGTAGTAAGAGACTAATAATTTAATTATTCAGATTCGTCCAAAATGGTTTGATAACCAACTATTTGAAATTTAAAAATTAAAAATGTACATACAGCAAAAAATAAATTGAAAAATGTCATCAACTTTGAGATAAAAGGTAAATTCAATTAATGTTTGGGCCTGAAATTCACATTTTCGCTAAATTGAAGTCAATCCAAAAAGGGAGCTATGAGTCTCAGCCCAATGGTGCAATGCTGATAGCGTAGCCAAGTTGCGGATACGCTAGCTAGGATTGAGATGTTTACTGATGAGGATCAAAATATTCCAAGGATCGAATGTAGAGGAAGACTAGGTTCAGAGTCCTAGTTCAAGAGGAAGGGGCCGAGAAAGGATGGTGATAAAGTTTTGGCTGAGTATATTCAGAGAATGCCGAGGAATTAGAATATTTTCAAAATTATACAACTCAGCAATTCTTACCACTAAGAAATTTTTCCCTATAAATAGAAGTGGCTCTACAACTTGAGAAGCCCCTCAAATCAACAAACAACTCAAAACGCTATATGTGAAAATCCTCGCTCTACGTGAAACCCTTCTCACATCCCTGAGAAAAACACTAACTATCCTAACCTTCCCACCATCACACCTTCAGTTCGAATAAGAGAACAACACTGGAGTTGTAGAACCAGGCGATTCAAAAGCACCTTTAATTCGGATCAGTGAACGAAATTGCTTCTGGTTAATTGGTTATCTATCCAAGTCTCAGCCGGTGAAGGTTTTTAACTTTTTCACCTAAAGAGTTCATCTCAGTAGCTTCTTGGCAAATTGGGGTGTTACCAAGTTACCCTTGTACAGTACAATGAAAGTCGAACTAGTTATTAAACTTCACAATGATCTAGTAACTTTATGTTCATGTTCTAGAACCCAGGGCTGAGACGTGTTCATTACTTGACTATAATTGCTCGAGTATAGAAGTCAAAAGCACATTCAACACCACCACCACTACCACCACACCTATGCGACCCGCTTGACTGAGTTCAGTTGCAAGTTGGCACGCACTCATTCACGAAAATGACGTAATTAGTTCATAATTACTTAGTTACACACCACGTAAACTTTGTGATTTCTAAGTTCAATATTTCCATATTATTTACATATGTTGGTTCATGCATTTCAAATAGACGGGAGACGATGTCCATAACCAGTTCTAGGTTATTATCCATATTTCATATAGGACAATACTATTTCATTCTTTTTTTTTTTTTTTTTTTTTTAAGAAACGATATTATCTACACTAAAATGGAATGAGTTGGCTTAGCTTTTTAATGAGTTAGCAATAATATGAGTCAAATTTGTCTTTGGCGAGAATCAAACCTAAGACCTCTCACTTACAAGTAAAAAGAGATATCACTAGACTATAGTATTAAGTGGCGTGTGGAGTTCTAGGTTCAAATTCACCTTTTTGTTTTGTCTTTTTAATTAGCTAGTTCTATTGCTTTTAATCAAGTTCCGTCCTCGTGCCGTGTGGGGTTCTAATTCCAACAATAGAACATTCATTCCTTCATATCCGCGACAAGAATTTGATTCTTGCTTTTCTCCCGAGTGTAATTCTCTGTGCGCCATGTATAAGCGAATGAGAGAAGAAAAAGGTCACAAAAATTCAAGAACCCTAATTACAGTTTAACCGAAAAGTTTAAAAATCTCAAATGCTAATGGATGGCTCATACCATAATTAGTCCTAGATTAGTACTTGCCACACCATAAATCTATTATATGTAGCTACAATTTTGCAATTCATTGCATCTCGTCCTTTTTATAATTTAGATGAATTTACATGTTTACCTAATAAAAATAGGAAAAATAATGAATTAAAGAACTTATAAATAGGAAAAGTGAGAAAAATTAAGTTGATCTGATTTCTGTTTTTAGGCATCTAATTACCAATTTCGTGAAAAAAGCTTACACTTTTCTTATTTTTTACGTGTAAGTAAACAGTATTTGGTTATAGATTTCAAAAGAAAACTTACACTTTTTGGTTCCTTATATGTAATCAAAGTTCTAAAAGACGTTAGACGCTAGTCGGACAGTAGACAGGAGCCTAACGCCTAGGTGGCATTAGGCGAAAATTTTTAGAACAGTATGTGTAGCTAAAAGGGGAAGAAAGTTAAGTAGTAGAATCCCATGTAATTCAGCCGGCCAACCCCAAGGTCGCCAAATTGCCCCATTTCGCGTACAATCCGAGCCATCCTGATGATATCCGTACTCCTAGTCCAAACACCGTCACCCGAGGAGCTTCCTGATCGAAACTCCAACACCGTGAATTCGATTCTATCGGAGCAGTTACGGTGGAAGGTGGCGGTACAAGGTGTCAAGGACCCAAACCGAAGTTATCTGCACCTTCCCACGCATGAACGAACCATTGTTTATGGAAAGTTCACCTTTGAGCTAGATGTTGAAAGCCTGGATAGAATTTGGGAGTCCAAGAGGGAGATCGGCTTGATCTAATGCATCAGCGAAGCAAGAGCCATCCATAAGGGGTATGGGAAACATGCCAAAGGAAGAACAAGGAGGGATAGGGGCTGCCCCCGACTCAGGCCGCAGCTAGGGTCAGCAGAAGCTAGAGTGCTAAAACACTTACGAACCAAACGGGAGAGAAACTGAAATTGGAAGGTTGAGACTCTCACACAGCAGGGAGAAACGCTCTCACGGAAAGAGAAGACCTCTTACCATCGATATGAACATTTAAACATATCAATTAGCGTAAACATTCAATAGTTCCCCTAATATGAATTAGACTATCAGCCAAAACAGGAGGAGTTGAAAGAAATAGGTTTATGAAGATTGGTAATAGCCTAAATGCCGATAACATTAGCACAACACTCATAGAGAGAAGACCTCTCACCAAACGGAGGGAAACTATCGTTCGAGAAACACCAGAAGCTTTGGGAAACACCAGAAGCTTAGCTTCCTTGTAATACAAGCAACATAAAACACCATCATTTGAGAAACATCAATGCTTATATATCTAAATTTTGGACATTCTCAATGAGGTGGAGGTTGTAGCATCCATATCATGCTGCTGCACTCAGATATGAACTAACACATTCATTGAAACCCAAATTAAAAGATTCATCTCTCGGGGATGTCTCTTCTTTATTTACCAATCATAAGATGCGCCAAGGAGGTGCAACGGATGCTGCCTCAATATCGATATGGACACAAACATATCATTTAGCATAAACATTCAAAAGTTCCCCTAATATGAATTGGACTATCAGTCAAAAAAAGGAGTTGAAAGAAATAGGTCTGTGAAGATATTAGCCTAAATGCCGATAACTTTAACACAACACTCCTAGATGTTTCAAACAATACCTTTTGACATAACATAGAGAGACGCAAATCCACTTTTCCAAATTAATCCCCAGTTCTGGAAATGAAAAACTTAAACAGGACAACGTTGCATGCCCGATCTTCATCAATGAGAAGATACAAAAAGCAAAGCATAATCACATTTCTTAGTCAGATTGCTCCTTCAAAGACGTAGTAGTCTTTATATGGTCGTTTAGAGACAACATAGTCAATTCAGATTCCCCAACAAAGGGTTCTTGAAATCAGCCAACACAACGGCTATACATCACTTAATTCCACTTAAATTTGACCGAAATCAATTTGAAAGAACACCGAATCACAAAACTATCATGCAAACTATACCTATTCTGCAAAATAAAGTACTGCTAACAAAATCATTTTAGAAGAAACATAAATAAGCAAACTACCTCACCCAGCTAACTCATTGCAAAACACATCAGAAAATAACCCATGTTAAAACTAATTCATAGAAAGTAAGCCTTAAAATTATACTGATGGAAGCAGTTAATTACGTTTTGTAATTATAAAACCTCGTCCTGCCAGCAGTATGATCTATTATGCAACCTGAGCCACTCAAATCACTTTCTTCATCCGTTTGTGACTATAACATACTTTCACCCTACTCTATTTTCTCTCCTTTCCTTCTCTCTTTCGGCATGAGAAAGCACATTAGTTGTTGTCACAAACGCTGTTGCTTCATCAAAATTCATCATTAGTCTAGAATAAACAACAAAGTGCCAAGCTTTATAATTTCTTTTCTATCCTCATTTGGCAACATTCACACATGATATGATCTCCAGAGTTTCAAAACAAATTTTCCGTGTAAAAGCTGGACATATAAACATCGCTTAGCGCCTGCGATTCATACCAAACTGCAAAAACACATACAAAGGCGTATCGAAAATCTATTCCACAAAACCTGTCAAAATTTATATATTTCATACTGAATTCAAGTTATTACAGTGTTATAACCCACCACAAAATGAGCAACCATAGAAATCTAAACATTGAGCTAAACAACAAATAAGTTTCCTTACCCAATTGATCAAAACCGGTTCACCAACAAAACCCGCCAATTTTCCTCTTGGAATCAGTAAGTTCCTCTACTGTTGTTGAGAATCGACCCAAGCGTGCCCAAAACTGCGAAAGCCAAGAGAGGACTAACATCCAAGGTATCGAAAATCGGCGGAATTATATTGCGGAAGAGGTTCAAATAAGGATCGCAGAGGTCCCGAATAGCCGAAAGTGGTTGACGGTCCCAAGGAATATTAGGGAACCAGCTGAGCAAAACCCTAACCATCAAAACCCCACTGTAGATATCGAGCCATTTGGAGAGTCCGGCAGCGACAACCGTCAAAGGGGTATTCAAATAACCGGTCGGGCGGTCCCTGAGCGCCGCAAAGAAGAGGGGCCCGGCGGCGGATCCGATGGAGGGTCCGAATTGGGAGCCGAACCTGACGAGCGAAATTGAGAGGCTGCGGACGGCGGCTAGGGTTATGGCGAAGAGGGTGGTGAGGGTGCGAGTTGGGAGGTGGGTTAGGGGCGATGGGGGCTGAGATGGGTTTTGGGGGAATAGGGTTTGGGGGTTTGTGGTGAGAGTGGCACAGAGGGGTCTGAGGGAGAGTTTGGGGATTGGGTTGGTGTAGGATTTGGGATTGAATCTGAGAATGGGAGTGGGAGAGAAGAAGGGTTTGAATTTAGCTTTTGGTTTGATGGGGGTTGAGGTGGGGAAGAAGATAGCTTGAGACGCCATGACTGATGCCATGCTTTGATTGGGGATTATCTGTTGCGGTGAAAGAAGGAAAGTAGCCAAACACTGAACCACTCTTGTCAGGTGTATATACAACTGCTTTGTTTTTAGACTACAGATAAGCGAAACACAAATTGCATATTAACAAAAAAAATTGTTTTATTTATTTAGATCAATTACTAACATTCATTGATATGACGTTCCGAAGAATTACAAATGATAGGATGGAGTGCACTTAAATATGTCTCGACAAAAACTTTGTTGGCGATTTCAACCGGGTTGAAAATATTTTAATCTTTCTAACTTGGTCTTACGAAACTAAGGTTGAAAAGATTGAGGAAAATCAGTCATTCACAACCACTGATCAATGATTCCTTGAAAAGTTAAGAATTAGTAATCCTTTTTAGAAATCGAATGGACTCTGTCGATATACATGCGAGGAAGGTAAAATGAAAGAAGATGAGTTCTTCTTTCTTTTATCACTTTGGAGCTATGCTTCGAAATGCTTAGCAGACAACCGGTGATAAGTCGAAGGAAGGTAAAAGGATTTTTTTTAATACAAAGGAAAATTTGTTTGGCCCCCTAAGCTTTGATTTAATTACAACTTTCGTTTTAGCAAATATTGATAAGGTGATGCTATTCACATACCTATTTTTATCTCTCATATGTTTTTCTTAATTTCTCGCCGCTAGACTGAATAAATTGAAAAAAAAAATTAATAAACAAAAATTAATAAGGATGTGTAAAAAATAAAAAAGATGTGTGAATAGCACTTTAATATTGATATTGAACTTGTCACAATGAAAAGCGATAGTTTTTTGAATAGTTTTGATAAAACCTTTTGTCTCTTTTTTGCCTTTTAAAACTTAATTTTTGGATCGATGTTTTAAGAGTGTTATCAAAGAAACCAATGCTCAATTCTCTGCCTCGTGTTAGGCCATCTCCAACCGAGGGCTGGCCAGAGGTCTCGTTTTAGCCATCTGGCCCTCCAAGATTCTCCAAGATATTAATATTTTAATGAACAGTACAGGGCCATATTTGCCTTCGTCTTCAACCGAAGGCCAGAGGGCTCGTTTTAGCCCTGCCACAAAAAACCGTCTCCAACCGAGGGCCAAAGGGCCATAGGGCCAAACATAATTTATTATTTAAAAACTACAACTTAAATTCAAATCCAACAGCTAAGTGATGTCAATAGTACATCATGATGTCTTGCATCATATTACACACTATGATAGTGAAGGATGAGCGAGATGGGTATATTGATGGAGAGTCTGATGACGACCAAGAAGATCCAAATAGGTCAAGAAGGGCTCGTGCAAAAATATATGATGGGCCTAATTTGCCTTTCAATCCAAGAACTGGTAGTATCTTTGACACACCCTGACCGAGATCAGGGCATGATGGCCGTCACGTGGAAGTGACGTAACCATGTGCACAGTGTGGAAGCTAAGAAATAATAAAAGTACGAATAAATAAAAACCAAGTTATACACTAAGTAGATAACATACACGTGCAAGCGTAAGTGTGAAAAACAATATTCAGAGCACGGAAGACCTAGTGCAGTCCGGGAGAAACAAACACTAAATAAACACGCCCAAAGGTGGTCCTACACTGGTGATAATCTGTCAGATATGCCGTGAATCCCTCGAGAGCCACCAACAGAGTTATCCAAACTAGAACCTGGAGGGGCGCAAAACAGAAGGTGTGAGTGGGCAAAAACAAAACTTTTCAAAATCATTTCAATATCAAAAGTACTAACCCCTCGCCGTAAAACCTGTATAGTTTCCCAGAAAATAGAATATAATATAACTCATGCTCAGAAATATGCCATGTCGAATGCCTCTACATAGAAATGCAAGTACTCAGGTAATGTCAAATCAATGCCATGAAATCTGTCAGTCGGAGTCACCTAACGTGACCTGTACGGCTGAATCTAGAGCTCAAATCTCCAACTCACTAACTATACCTGCACACGAGTCGAAACTACCTAAAGTGGTATGTACGACAGGACTGGGTGTAAATAAATACGCTCAAGTGCTACGATCACGTGAAGACTGGGCGAATAATCGCGAGTCATCTATGAGTCGGAACCACCTATAGTGGTATGTACGACAGGACTGTGCACCTAACTTGGATCCAAGATGAGCGTGTGGTGCGGGAGGTGAACATCACGTGAAGGACTGTGCCCTACTTTGGGCGGGAGCACTAACATCGGGGGTGCAGGTTATGAGCTCTCTATGCATCTCAAATCACTACTAAACATAAACATAAACCATAACTTACTTGGCACTTACCTATGCGTCCGCAGCACCAAACATATATATATATATATGCAACTAATAATGCATAATTAAACGGGCAAACATAATGCATGGCATATAAAACATATAAACGTTTAATTTCATTTTCTGGGAAAAAATCACAAGTATATAGGTATATACGGAAAACCAAAAGCCCACTCACTGGTATGTAGAAGGGTCGTAACCCCTTGCCTCGAGTGACTGCTCTCGTCCTCGGGATAGGTCTCACCTATATGCGAAACAACTATAAAAACGTTAATTTAAAGCACATAACCCAAACTAGGTAAAAACTTCTCATACAATGCTCAAATGGGGTGTGTGAATACACCAACGTGATCTGCTCTACCTCACGAACATCCCCATATTTTTAAAATATTTTTTTGACACCGCACTCACCCCCATGCGCCGCCAAGGCACGGCCACACGCGTCGCGCAGGCACGTGCCTGGCACACTAACGACGTCAGTTAACGCCGTTAGGAATATTCCGTTAACTTTGACAGATTTTGTTAAAGTTAACCTAACGCTGTTAGGAATATTCCGTCCAAACTGACGGAATATTCCGTCGTCTTCTCCGGCCAACCTCCAGCGCCATCACCGTCGCCGGAAAACTGGGAAAGTTTCCAAACTTCATATCTCACTCGTTTTTCACCCAAATTTCACGAAATTGGTACCAAAATGAAGCTTACAACTAGAGGAACAAATCCTTACCACTTTCAAGCACTAAAACCAACGGAATCTTGCCGGAAAAACTCCACCAAATCCGGCCAAACCTGCAACTCACAATCCCGACGTCCAAAACCTTCAAACGAACCACCTTGAGCTTTCTAAGGACCTCACCAAGCTTCCTACAAACTTGAAATTCCCAAAAACACATGAATTTACATGTGCATGAACAGTAACCAAATCGGGGATCTCGAGTTTGACGTGAAAACAAAGGTTCCCTTACTTGAAATGGGTATGTTTGAACTCCTAAGAACCTCACGAGCACAAATGTAAAGTTTGCTTCCTCGATCTACCACGTTTTCGAACACTTTGGTTCTTGTCCGTACAAACTGATGACGAGTAGAGAGAAAGAGAGACAGATACGGGACAGGGCAGAGAATAGGAATGAGTGTGGGTGTGTGTGTGGTCCAAAATCAGCCAACCAAAACCCCAAAATGACCACACAACAAAACAAACACACTAGGGGCAAAACTATCATTTTACCCTTACGGTACGAAAAGTCTGAGACGGGCTGTCACAATCTCTATAAATGAATACATGAGGCACTAAGAATGATACGTTCTCGTGCCACAAACAAGTACCTACAACATGACCTTGTTGCACATCTTTGGCCCAAAAGAAGCATGGAGTAGGCGTTTAAGTTTTATGTTGTTAAATGTTTTTTAAAATGTTGTTTAAGTTTCATGTTGTTAAATGTTTTTTTTTATGTTGTATAATTTGTATGTTGGTTAATGTTATTTAATGTTATTTCATATTGTTTAATGTTGTTTCATGTTACTTAATTTAATTTAATGTTGTATAATGACTTAGGAAGTTATAGGAAAAAAATATAATTTAAAAAAAATATGAAACAAATTTTGTGAAATAGAAGTTATAGGATAAAAATAGAATTTAAAATAAAATAAAGCAACTATGTGAAATAGAAGTTATAGGGAAAAAATGGAATTTAAAAAAAAAATGAAACAAATTTTGTAAAATAAAAGTTATAGGAAAAAATAGAATTTAAAAAAAAAATATTAAAAATAGAAGGTATAGGAAAAATTTTGTAAATAAAAATAATAATAAAATTATAAAAAAAAAAATTCAAATGCAACGACTAGTTGAAGTCAGTTAGCCGTTGCATTTGAATTTTTTTCTTAAGCATTCCTGTCAGTTATAACCGATAGGAAAACTGAATTTTCTGGCCAGCCCCGGGCAAGCAGCCAGCCCTCTAGCCCTCTTTGATTCCATGGGGCCCTATCAATTTCCAGAACCCTCTGGCCTAGCTCTCGGTTAGAGACGGTTTTCGGGCTATTTTTGGCCCTCTGGCCCTTTAAACCCTACGGTTAGAGATGGCCCTTAGGGGTTTTCTCTCCCTACTGTGAGAGTTTCTTCTTGCCTGTGTGTGAGGTTGGTTCTACTTTTTCGTTCTCCCCCCCGACCGCCGGCCCAGCTACGACCAGGGTCTGCTTCCCTATCTTTTTTCAATTTCTGTTTTTCCTGCTTCTTCCGCTCCGATTTGCCCTTTCCTCCAACCCTCTGTGCTTTAAAAATCAAATTTCTTAGCCATCACTTCCAATCTCCCTTTCTTGTCCTCTTTTTTCTTTTCCCACCATCAATCTCTATAATTTTCATCCATCCTTTTCTTACCCTTCCCACTTGGTTCCAACAATCCTTGACTCCATGTATTTTCAGATCTACAACTTTGGACCATCAACGCGTTTTGACGCGATTCTCCCAGTAAGTGCGTACAGCTCCAGCTTGGCACCACCACCTCCCATGGATTTGTCTTCTTTGGCTTGGTTGCCTTTGGTGGCTTTGTTGCTGGTGGGTTATCTCTCACTAGCTTAATTCGGTTTCTGGTTGCTGTACCGATCTTTGTGGTGGTCTTTGGATGTTGTTGGAGTTGTCTTCTCCTTCACTCTTGCGGATTTGGTTAGCTGGACCTATGGCGTCGGGTTGGAGTTTTGGTCTGCCGCGGTTTCTGGCGGCGGTGGTTCCAAGAATGTAGGGTTTTCTGTATGGTTTGTCTACTTTTGGGTTCAAAACTGTTGTTTTAGGCTTTGGTTGGTGGTCCATTTTTGCTTTTGTGATTGTCTTGTAATTGGGCCCTCTTGGGTACTTTGCTCTTTATACTTTGCTGACCTTTACCACGAAATACAATTTCCAGTTCACCAAAAAAAAAAAGAAAAAAAAAAAAAGGCCGATGCTCCACATTTAATCAATACTCACGAATTTTTTTATTTATGAACCTGAACTTCAGCTAGGTCAAATCCAAGGACCGATAGAACAATTTTCTCTTAGGTATATGGTCACTTCAGTTTTTAACATAATTCATTAAAAAATAATTTTCCTTTCATTTCAAACTAAGGTTGATATCACTCGCTATAATTTCTCTTTATTAAGCTTTATATAAGCTACTTAATATTACGGTCTAATGATATTTCTCTTTATTTGCTAGTGAGAGGTTTTAGGTTCAATTCTCATCAAATGTGAATTTGAACTACATTATTGTTTGCTCATTATGAAATTAAGCCTACACTCTTTAGCGTAGATCATATCATTTGTTAAAAATACTCTATATAAAGATATTTGTCTCATATATAAAGGCATAAAATGTTAATTGACTCAATCTCAATGTTAAAATAGAACAATATTGGCCACTGAAGAATGTTTAAGAACTTCAACTACAAACTCTTTGTTGGCAATCCACAAAAATTCGTACTTATGTTAGAACAATTATATTATAAAATACTTAAAAATTACTTTGTAGACATTATAAATTCGTACTTACGTTGGAATTATTACATTATAAATTACTTCGTAGAATGAATTCGTCGACTAAATAAACGCTTATCTATTTGTTTACAATTAATTGATTAAACTGTTTAGATTTAAATCCTAAATTATTTGGTTCAAATATTAGACTTTAGGCCCATACATAAAAAAGATGAAATCTGATGAAAAGACTAGTTTCAAAGAAGAAAAAACTTGGAACTTGAAACTTAATACTACGGTCTGGTATTACTTATTCATTTCAAAATAAGATGTCTTAAGTTCGAATCTTATAGATAGCGAATTCGATACCAAATTAGGCTGTCAATTGTCTGGGTTAATAGAACTCTTTCTTCCCTAAATGTAAAAAAATCAATGTACTTAAAAAAAAAAAAAACAATATAATAATATTTATTTTCACTTATAAATAATAAATTTTATGTTCGATGCTAAAAACTAAATCAAACCATTATTATTACTAATTCATTACAAGCTTAACCTACTCTACATCCCAAGTATTGAACAAATGAATAACAAAAAAAAAAACTCTTCAGGTTTCCGTAAGTTTGACCGACTCTGACCGATTTCGACGACGTACGTGTAGAACAACGAACAAACAAGCGACATGCATGCGCCACGTCTTCAAGGCCTTCACCGTTTTCATCCATCTTCCTCAGCGGTGCTGGCTAGACACGCGTCGTCGAATCCACACACCCGTGACAAATGCAGAAGTTATAACTAACCTTGATGCACTTATTTCTCTGATTCTCTGAATATCTCTGAATATCTATTCAACCATTTGCAGCAGCAGCAATGGAGTTTAAACCCAGAATTTGTTCTTCTGGTATTCTGGTGATTCTCTGCATATTCTTCTTGATCAATACTTGTGCGCCCACAGGAGCGTTGGGAGAAGGAGAGCAGCAGCAGCATTATAAGATGGAGGAAGAGAGAGTTAATGAACAACCCAAAAAGCCATCTATGTGGGAGATGACTAAGAATGCTTTTTCTTTGTACACATCTTCCCCTTTGAGGGTTCCAACATACTTGGACAAGTCCAAAACCCTATTTAATCAAATTCGAGCTTATTTCTTCCCCCCTAATTTAGAGTAAGTGATGTACTTCTTCAAATTTTCAATTTATTATTTGTTTTTTTTGGAAGTATTTTCGAGGAAAAATAGTTGACTAGGATTTTGTGCTAATTATGAGATTATTTTGTGGAGAAATTCTCCCCCTACACACTCATGTGTTTTTCTGTCGGTTATTTTTGTCTGATTTATTTAATCTGATGATCAAAAATTATTTGTGTTCATGGATGCACTCGAAATTTGTCAGTTCTTCATTTTTTTCTTGTAAAGGTAGAGGAATTGAAATTATTTGTTAGGAGTTTGTGCTAGTTTTTATTTATTTTTGAAATTGATTTTCTGTTTTTTTGGGTGGAAGTTTTAGGGGTAGTATGGGGAATATTGAACTTGAGCCTGGTAGCAGTGGCGGCGATGGAGCTGGAGGGAAGGTGACGGAGGTGGTTGGGAAGAGTTTTGGCAAGAGCAAAGAGACGGTGGAGGACTCTGCGAAATCAGCAGCCAAAATAGTTGGGGAGAGGGTGCAGAAGACAAAGGAGAAAGTGAAGAGGAGCTTTTCCGGCAGTGATAAAAACACAGAAAGTAAAGAAGCTCAATCTGAGCTCTAGCTATTTGCTATAGCCAAGTAAAAGAGTAGAACATAAGTTTTGGGTTTTCTTACTTTCTAAGGTGTTCATTTGTATGCTATTTGTATGAGGATAAATTGTTACAGTAACTGGAGTTTGGTAGTTTTCAATGTGGCAGTGATTGGAAAAGTTGTGCAATTCTACACGTACCTTTTTTTACAAATAAGCAGCATAATTTTTATAACAAACTCTTTATCAATATATAATTTCTAGTGGGTGTTGCTGATTCGACAAATCATATTGTCATGTATTCAAACAGTATACATTTAACTTCTCGCGATAGAGACTATAGTTGTCTCGGACAAATGAGTTTCTCTGGACCAAAAAAGGTAGTGGAAAATTACTTTATTTGTTGGTTGATTGTTGATGATACAGATTGCTCCATTGAAAAGATATCACAAACACACTCGAAAGATCAAGTTGCTATTGCATATGGTGCGGGTGCGATTGTGAGGAATGCATGCTAACCTGGAGGTAGGTTTGTAAAAGAGGGGGAGCGAATGCAAAAAGGCCGACCACACTAGGGGAGTGAACATGAAAGTGCTAACTCGTAGAACCGAAGAAGAGTATATATAGTGAAGAACATGAAAGCCTTTGAGAGAAAAACCAGAGATGAACTTTAATTTGTACACGGTGGAAGTATCTACGTTCCTACACTAATTAATGAGAACCATTAAAACTAAATGGAAAATGCTAGAGAGAGACTATATTTGTAGATTATATTTTGTAAGTCGCATGATGTGGCGGTTGATATTAAATATTATTATGATTTAAACAAATTCAACCATCAATTGCTACATAATATGGTCTATAAAATATATTTCAATAAATTATCTTTAGCATTACACGATCTAAATGAATCAAGCTAATTGATTTTATACACACGTGTAATACTCGTAGAAAATAGTTTCAATCAACATGAAGTAGCGTATTAGTTGGGAAGTATTAGTAAGGGAGGCCTAATGTCATCCCTTTATTACTCTACAAGAAAACAGGGCTTATGTGACGACGTGTGTTTGTCACATTCAGTACATGTGACACTGCCTCGTCACTTAATATTGGTTTAAATTAACGAAAATAGGAGATTGTGATAGAGAAGGCATCACAAAAAAGTAAATTATGTGACCTGTATAGTTTGTCACTTACGAAGTAGATAAGTGACGCTAAAAGCATCACATTTTTCTTTCATTTGTAGCGTAGGCTGGGTCACTTATGTCAATGAAATACCTATTTTGGAAATATATGTGATAGACCAATACATATTCATTGTTTATAATCCGAAATTAAATTTCCCTGTTTATTATATGGAATTACAATTCATGTCAAATATAAGGTAATGCTTGGGTTAATTTCATTTTCATTAATAAGTTATTAGGCACATACATCAAGTACTTGTATGTTTCACATACTCACATAAAAATTCCAAAAAAAAACTAAATCTTGGTATCCCATCTCAGCTCATGGTAGTTCATCATGAATGGAGTTGGATGCGTGGGTTAATTGCATTTTCATTAATAAACTACTTAGGCACATACATCAAGTAGCTTGTACGTTTTTGTTGACCCTATAAATTACAATGCCTACGTGGCGCGCAGGCTGAGTAACTAATCGGCTAACTAAGTCCTTCGGTTGAATGCGGGACGTGCCAACTCGTCGGCCGAGCTCGGCCGAGGAGTAAAATTCGTTGTTGTCGCGTTGAGCGCGTTGTTGACTTCTTAATCTTGCGACTACGACCGAGGAAAGAACACTCTCGGTCTTTGGGTTCTAGAGCCTGAAGACGAGGCTGCTAGTTCTACGAAGTTCACAAATCGTCGGTGCCTGATTCGATCACCGTGATTATATTCGTAAGAGTATAAGCACGTCGAATCGACACCAGACTATATGGACACAAATATTTTAAAGGTAATGTATGTCTTGACAGTGAACGTGGTTCGGCCGTCAGAATGGCGAACTCTAAAACCTACCCGTGAATACGCAATCATAAAATCACTCGGCATTCGATACGCCGAATGTCGTAACTCGTGACACCTTACTTCGCCAAGAAGGCTAATAAGATGACCCCTGCCAATAAGGATCCGAAAACCCTCATCGGCCGAGATTTGGATAGGTAACCAGTCGGCCTCGACGCAGTGCTGTTTATCCAAACTGAAGATGCCCCTTGGTTGGCTGATTCTACGGCGACAGTGCTGTTTATCCAAACTGAAGATGTTCGCCGGTCGCCTTCACAGTGCTGTTTATCCAAACTAAAGGTGTGTTGGCAGAAAAAGAAAAGGAAAAATCTCAAGGTGTTTGAGAGGTTTTGCGCAGGGCAATTGTATGTTCGCCGGTCGCCTTTACAGTGCTGTTTATCCAAACTGAAGGTCCCCTTTTTGTTGCATGATTTCTTGTATTTATAGCACCCATTCCTTGAGACCGAATCGAACCCCTATTTGGATTGGGAGTCCTTGTCCCATTCCAACTTTACTTCAAACAAACCTACTCCCAATAGGACTTTGAACTTTCCCCCTTCCGAGGTTTTATTCCTTGTTGGCCGGGAATCCTGGTTGCACCAGGACTCCCTCGACCCTTTTTATTTATCTGGACCACTCCTTCTTAGGATATGACTCGACCGACCCTGCTAATTGGCCCGTAACCTATCACTCAGCCCATAGCATTTGACACAGCTTTGGGTCGAGCCCAACCCTCTGCTCGGCCCAACAATATTATTTCGGGCCCAAACAGTTTCACATACATAAAAATCCCCCAAAAAATCTAAATCTTGGTGTTCCATCTCAGCTTATGGCAGTTCATCATGAAGGGCACCAACTCTTTTATACATGTTGAGATGCTAACAAAAGATAAATTTAAGACACTGAGGAGCTAACCAAAAACTTATACCATGTGCATGACTAAAACTAACAGTAAAAGACTTTGTAATATAAATCAGTCTTCATCCGTACCAAGGTCTTCCATTTTAGCGTATGCACCCTCTACATTTGAAAGATCATAATCGGTACCTATAGAGTTGTTGATATCTTGCCCCTTCTTTGCTAAAGGAGCTTTCACTTGTAATATGAGAATATCATTCTTCTTTTTCAACTCTTTATTCTCCTTTTCCAAGTTGATGAAACTAGTTAATAGAAGCTTTATTTGAGCTTTCATGTCCGTTAACTCAGAACTTGAAGGCACTGAAGAAATATAACTAGATGTATCTATACGAGGAAAAACACCTACACCATTAATAGATGTTCCTTCCTCCCAAGGTTCTCAAACCTGATGCCAAACTGATCATCAAAGTTCCGTAGAGAATCACAATTTCTCCATAACTTCATCCTTCTTTTTTGTCATCTTATCCTTACATAAAAAATAGGCTCCTAGAATACTAAACAATGAATTCAATATTCATCAATTGCTAAATAAATAATAAATAAACGATAGAAATATGTAAAGAATTCAACTTCTATTGGTGGTTTTGCTTTTTGGGGGAAAAGAGGAGTGTTAATTGCTCAGTGGCTGAAAAGAAACTAAATTGTAAACATTGTTCAAGTCAAATTTGTCATATCTTTTTATTACCCCTTTTAAAACTTCAATAAAACACATCTAAACCATAGTTTAATGTTGTCTGCTATAACTTGCAAAGATCAAAGCCTTACAAATGTTGTTTTGGTCTTGAATTCTTCCCAAATGTGAGAAAGAAGGTGATTTGCTTCTTTTGATCTAAATCTTGAGGGAGGATTTGCAATCTAGCAGGGCTTAAAGTGTTGATTTAAATGCGACAGTGACGGAGTGAGGGATAGAAGAAGCAAATTGATTTTCAAACACTCCTCTTTATCTTATTTTTTCCGTCAAATTGTATAGAATAGAATATCCGAGTATTATTTTATTCCAAACATCATTAAAAAATTTCATTCAAATCTAAAGTTCCATTATTTTTTGCGGATTTGGATCCTCTCCTGGGCCCAAGGAGAAGATCCTCTTGACCAAGCATTGTGAGCCATTGGATTTTCATTTAACAGCTATAATTATTATAATTTTAAAATAACCTTCTTGTTTGTAATCGTTGGATAAAAATCTAACGGTCCACAATGCTTGGTCAGGAGGATCCTCTTCTTTGGCTTAGGAGAGGATCCAAATCCATTTCTTGCTATCTAAATGCCAAAAAAAAAAAAAAAAAAAAAAAAAGAAGTCTTGGGTGTTCGAGGTTGACCAACTCATCAATAAAATAAATAAAGAAATAAAAAAAATAAAATGACAAAGAATCCGCCAATTTAACTCCCCTCGTTCCTCCCTCCACTCTCTCGCACCATCGACACTACCACTCTCTCTTTCTCGCGTACACACGCAAAAGACTAACGCGCCTAAATTTTCTCTCTTATCCAAACACCCCCTCAAAATCTCCCATCTCTCTCTGTCTCTAGCAATTCCGCCATCAATGGCAAGGTCGTCGATTTCTCAAACCCTTACCCTAACCCGCCACCTCTCGCCCAAATCATCGCCGTCCTCCTCCCGCCTCATAACCCTGCGCGCCCAATCCACCCTCCCTTTTCACCATGATCCACCAACCGACTCCTCCGCCGACTCGCCTTCTGATCCCCTTCTGCGCAAGCTCGAGGACGCCATCCACCGGATCATCGTCCGCCGATCCGCGCCCGATTGGCTCCCTTTTTTGCCCGGCGCTTCCTACTGGGTCCCTCCTCCACGGTCGAGATCGCACGGCCTGGCTCAGCTGGTCGATAAGTTGGCCAACCCTTTGAGTGAGGAAGAGACCATGTCTATGAGCACCGTTAGAGGGTGGCCTTCTTCTGCTTATTTTATCGAAGGTTTGCTTCCCTTTTTTCGATTTTATTAATTGGGTTCTGTTCAAAATTGGGTTTTTATCCTTCAATCATTTGAGATTGGATTGAATTGTGTGTTGTGGTTGGTTTAATTGGATCATCTAATTCGTTTCTGCATCTGGGTTTGTTTCTGAATTGAGTAATTTTCTCTCTTTAGTTGAGAATTGGAATTTCGAAAATCGAAAACGTTAACGGATCGATCATATTTTGAGGCATTGATCTTGTTTTGTTCTATGATGAAAAGTTGCTGGAATGATTAAGATAAAGGAATTAGTCTGGCTTTTGTTTTTTTTTAATGTATTTTTTTTCGGGGCATTGGAGGGATTAAGAACTTTTGTGACAGAAAGTATTGAAATCTTGTGTATAATGGATGGTTTTCTTACAATTGTTGCTTATTCTATGCCTTCCTGTTCTTTGTAGGTACATCTCCACAACTGATGGAGCCTGTGGTTGTGGTTCAGAGTTCTGATGATGTGTCCAATCCCCAACCAACGGAGACCGTGGATCAAATTTCTAACAATGTGTCCAAGTCCGAGGATGAGGAGGGATGAACCATGTAGTTCTCATCAGTGACATCTGAGGTGAGCTTTAAGAACAATTGGCTGAGTTCTGTATTGATGACAAGAAATTTGTTTACTTAATTAGTAAAACTCAATGCTCTTATGTTGGGTTTCATCCGGTGGAATTTAATGGTTTTTCCAACAAATAATCAAACTAATTTGGAGATAAACTGGGCTAACCTAGGCTTTTTGTGGAAGTTCAAGATTACTGAAGTTAAGCTGCTTCATATTCAAAGAACGAAGAGAAATGCTTTCATCTTTCCCAAAGTTGAAAATGTAGTTCTGAATACTAATTAGGTTGATCTATGGAGCATAATGAATTACAGTGTGTGCTGGTAACATCTGTTTTGACCTTGTTTATCCTGCTTTAAAGCTGGCTTTGAGGGCCGTTTTAATTCACCGGCCTTTGTTTAAATTTTAGGAGAGGTTTGTATAGGCTGTTAATGTGGATTCTAGCAAATCATTAATAGTTGAATTCATATGTCTATATGTGATAAAAGTTGGATTTGGAGAGTTCCAAACTTGATCTTTTGGTATAATGGTGATTTTAACCTGATATGAGTTGATGCCATGGGGGCTGATAAAAGACTTCAATCTGGTTTTGAATGATACTGCTTTTTATGTTGTAGTATTGCTTTTGCTTTCCTGATAAGCAGATCTGTTCCATGAATTCTACTATTTGTTAAGCAAAGCTATTGCTTGAAAGCTAATTATGCCTTGGTTGCTGGGATACGCAGGCTCATCTAGTCATGTAAATTGTTATGTAGGACGGCAATAGATACATTGATGAAGGGCATTTCGTCAAGGTCAAGAGCTCTACAGATGCAAACTGGTTAGCGAGGTAGAGTGACTTCTATCCAAGTTCAAGATTACAACCGAAAAGGAGTTGCATGTAATTATTCATCAAGTATATATAGTTGATCATTGTAGTTTGTTTTCAGTTGAATTGTGTGTTATTTGTACCTACGCCCGCATGGTTAATTTGCTCAATTCGAGTTTTAACATCAACATTTCAGTTTTTATCAGGATGTCCATGTAAATATACCAAGAGGTACATCAACCTTTTGTTCATCGATATTTTTCCACCCTCTCTTTTTCCAAATTACCACGTGTTTTGAGTTGTGAATTACATTTTTCTTCTTTTGTGACCGTCGTCACTCTCTCCAACGGAGGAAAAGGGTTTAAGAAGGAATACAGGTAGGTGTTTTGACAAAGTTTTGTTTCAATTGTTTAATGTTTGATGTGGTCGTATTCCATTCAAAAAGGGGGCTTAGCTTATGTTTGTGACTGCGTGGATTGCTTGTTAGTAGTTGGTAGGCTGTTTCCAAATTGACATATTTTAATTCAACGGCCTGCCTAATACATAGGAAACTTAGTTGGTGTGCGTAATACACATTTTATATTTTGAGGGCACACCAACGTGTACCATATATACTTTGAGTCAATGTGTCCAATGTTATATAATTTGTATATAATGATCGAATTCTAGTGTTGCCCATCAACTGAGACTGCAGCCCTAACATCTTTTAGGATGCCATTTCTCATGACCAAGTACCCGTCCCACATCGAAAGCTACGATGCAAAGTACAATTTCTCTTTCATGGTTCGTACCACTATATCGTCTAGAAATCAATGGTTAGATCTTGCATATACTGATATATGGATCTTCGCTACGATTAGATTTTGCATAAAATCCCTACCACTAAGTGGTACGTATCATTGTATCCAGACTCGCAAAAGTATGTCAGTTTGGTGGTTTTCAAAGGGACTCGAGATGTGCAGATGACGCTTTGCAGTGGTAGGCATAACAACTAACAATTTAACCCACTATCACTATCATTTGTAAGGAAATAAAAAATTGGTGGCATTCAACGTTGCGGTAGGACTGGTAAAGTTGCAGTAGGACCTGCTTGTTGCAATGCTTTCCAAGCAATTGCTTGGCTAGACTTTTGCCTCCGGTCTTACACGGTGTGGATGTCATTGTCATCCTGAAGAGAGAATCATAATGAATTAAGTTAGTATTATGGTGTGAGTTTGATCATATTAAAACTAGAGTGATTTGTATATCAAGATTGTCGCATACTGTTACCAATCCGCTCATGTTATAATGTGTATGTAATAACACTAAGCCATATTGGTACAAATGACTTAATAACACCGAAAACCTAGCTAGCTCCCAAAACATTTCCGACGAGACAAGCATAAGAGCTTTAATTCACTGGTAATTTAATAGGAAGAATGAATAGCATAAATCTCAGAACCTGCCCAACAGTCGTAACGTTTTTGTTCTAGTATTAATGTTCATCAAAACATAAAACTGCATTAAAACTACATAAAATTTCATTCCATTTGTAACATACTCCCCCAGCATTTCTATATAAATCCTTACCAGACTCTACTCCAGTATCAAAACACCAATCTAACAAACCCCTTTTCGGATATAGCAGAAAAGAGAAGTTCCAAGCTTCCAACATGTCTAGACAAGCTCAAGCATTACTTTCACTTCTCTTATTGGCAACATGTGCAGCAACCGGGCTGGCAGATGCGCCACCACCGCCCTTCCCGACCATCCCAGGCCTATTCCCTCCTGGGATTCCAGGGCTATCTCTGCCTGGAACCCCAGGTGAGATAGCCAAGTGCTGGTCTTCACTTCAGAACGTTCCAGGGTGTGCATCGGAAATTTATACCACAATCTTGACTGGTAAATTTTCTCTAGGCGCTGCTTGTTGCAAGGCCTTGGTCGAAGTTGATGAGAATTGCTTGCGGAAGTTGTTCCCGTTGTTTCCTTCCATTCCTGCATTGCTTAAGAGCAGCTGTGCTACTGCTGCTGCTCCTAAAGCAGCTGGATCAAAGCAGTAGTAGGCGGTTGAGATGATAATTTTTGCAGGAAATAAGTAGATCTTGGCTTCAGTTAAGCATAGTCATGAAGGGTTTTTCTTTTGTTTACTTTGGTTGCCATTAAGTTGGTACGTTTTGGAGGCTTCAGGATTGTGATTTTTGTGATGGATATAATAAGAGAAGATGTTTGGTTACTCAAAGATGAGTAGGACCTATTACTAAAAATCTTTGTGTTCGAATCACAGAGTTTTGTGTTTATGAGCAGAACCATTCATGTTATGAATCAAAATATCATCCTTACAAGAATTAAAACTAAAGTAGTTTAATCAATCAATTGTAGCAAATACATAGACGGTCCGTAATGCTTTACCAATTCATTTCACTTGTTTTAAGTGAGAACCTTGTTGTCAAGTTTCTACCAAATGCGATCTCACAGCCATCAGGTAAAACATATCTTATGAATAGTGGGAACACCTAAGGAATCGGGGTTCCCCTTTCATATCTCATACCCCGTTATGCGTTGTTGACACGATGAGATGATACGGGAGAGTATTCGTGTGTTCTACTTCTATAAAACTACCAAATTACTTGATTTGACTTAAATCCTTTCTTCTTCCTTTGCTCAAGAACAACTGTGCTGCCATAAGTGGGAAAATTTTGCATATATTTTCTAGTTCCTCTTCCAACGGAAATTTAGGGCTTGTTTGGTATTGTATCTGAAATTTTTTATAATTTCTCAAAACATTTCTTAAGAATTTTTCTTGAAAACAATTTTCTTTAAGACTCAAAAACTTATTTGGTATGCGATTTAAAAGTTTTGAATCTTACAACTTAAACTGGACAAAGAGATCCAAAAAAAGGGGGTCAAGAGAGAATGAGGAGAGAGGAGGAAAGAAAACAAGAAATGATTGGAGGAAAGAGAAAGAAGTCAGAGGATCAGAGGAGATAGAGCGGAAGAAGAGTGAGAGAAAGAACCGAGAAAATGAAAAAAGCGAATTGGAGTAGAGACGAAAAATGTAAAATAAAAAAAGAGAGAGGGAGAGAGAAAGAAGAAAAGAGAGATAGATTTGGAGTGGGAGGGGAGGAAGGAGAGAAAAGGAAGGAGCAAGTTTAAATTGAAAAACTTTAAAAACTCATTTTTTGTGTTTTTAGATAATAGATTATATTTTTGAATTAGTCTTGAGTTCAGTTTTTGAAAATAATCATACCAAACAAGTTTTTAAAGTCTAAAACTTGAAAATTGTTTTTAAGTTTAAAAAGTTGGATTCAAGTAAAGTACCAAACATGCTCTTAAGATTTTGTGTCTTCACATTACCAAAAACTGTAGAGTTATGTATCCCTCATCTTCTAAATTTGAAATTTCTAATTTTTCCATATTTTATAGCACAAATAGAATTCACTTACATTTTTGTTACAATTGGTAACGTGACTAGTACGTGAGATGTTGATATATACGCTTTCATGGAATGGAAAGGACTTTTCCCTCCTCTCATAACATCGTAGAAGTCGTCGTTGACATCTTCTCAACCAACTTGAAACCATTTGTGTCTTCTAGTTCTAAAATTCCTCTATACCTTGAAACCTAACTCTTGTTCTCTCTTGGAATCCCTTTCGAAATTCCGAATCGGTTACTTGTTCTACTCAATCAGTAAGATTCCCAGAAAATCAAACTCAAAGAAGACGAGAAAAGCTCGAAAGAAACGAAAGCTTGAAGAAGAAGATAAGAAAGCTTCTGTATTTCACTTGACAGTTTACAAAGATACATAAATATCAAATTGAACAAGATTATTATTACAATTTACAACTATTTACAAGAGTATTTACAGTAATTTACAACATACAACATCTCCTTAATAATATCAAACGGATCAAGTGAAGTAAAAACATTACTTCCATCGAGTTTCGAGTTCGTGGCTCTTCATGAGAGAAGTGGTTTGAGGAAAATTTTCTCCTTCATTCAGACCCTCCAAGGGGTAGACCTCCCACCCTGACTCTCTCAAGTAGGTGAAATAAACTTCTGGGATATGCGCAACCTTCCCATAATCGTTGCCTTGTTCATGTGGACTCAGCGTCTTGATTAACTTTTCCGGCATATCAAAGAATTCCAGCACCTTCAGCTTCTTCAGGTGTTCGATCCCGGATGGCACCTTCTCTAACGATTTACATCGCTGGATACTTAGCTTTTGCAGGGACGGCATTGCTCCCACCTGCACCTCTATACATCTAAGTTCTTCAAATTCATCAATGCCTAAATGTTTTAGCTTCTTAAATCCTCCAGCTCCAAAACACAATGTGTCTCCTTCAAACACCTGAGATAATTCGAGATGTACTAGGTTCGGCAGATACTGAATGAATACAAGCGGATTGTCCCTTAACCTACTCCCTTTCAGATATAATCTAACAAGGCTGTGCAGAGAAGGTATCCAGTGAGGCAATGTTTCCAATCGTCCACGCAAGTATAGGCGCTGAAGTAGTAGAGGAGGAGAAGAAATGTGCTGCAGGTCAATGATCTCATCCTCTTCTACTGAAGTTATGGACAATGCGCAAAGTTTGGTCAGCTTTTCGAGGGATGAACAAAGAGACTTTCCGTCTTGTTTCCTCATATGCACAATGCCTAACCGTCTCAACTGAATTAGTTTCCCCAGCTCTCTTAATATGGCACCTCCATCTTGGTTTGCCTTGATGAAACAAAGCTTTTGAAGACAAGTTAGAGCCCCTATTTTTGCAAGCACCTTAAAGCCATATTTTGAGTGAAAATCTCCATATGGTACAAATTCATAACGATATACTAAAAGATGACGTAGATGTTGAAGCTTCAAAATTTCAATTGGGAGTTCAGTGACCAGAGAATGCTTCAGATCCAAAGTCTCCAGGTTCTGAAGCTTCCCTATAAATCTCGGAATGGTTTTCACCCTCGTACCTTTCAAGCTTAGATACTTCAAAAAGAAAAGGTTGACAACTTGAACTGGAAAAGCATTTAGAGGTGCGCCTTGCAAATCTAACACGTTAAGAAGCCTAAAACCTCCAGGAAAAATTGTATGCAGTACTGGCTTCTCGGTAACTCCAAACATAAACAGAGAACGTAGTTGAGAAGCGCACCTGTTTTTCTGTACGTATTGCAAAGAATTATGCATTGACAGGCGTCGGACTTTGTCAGGCCATGGTATGTTTTGCTCTTTAGCTATTGTGGCAAAGTTCTGATCTCTTATCTTAGAGGTGATAATCTCTCGGAGAAGATCATGGACACGAAAGCTTTTGATCCTTCCATAACTTGTTGTCTCTGCCGCTTGAATCATGCTTCTATTCAACAGTTCATTGAGGTAGTCCTCTGCAACATCTTCTAATGTTTTGCCTTGTTTCGCTTCAATAAAACCCTCTGCCATCCATAACCGAACAAGTCTCATATGCTCGATTAGATGATCCTCGGGAAAGATGCTCAGGTACAAGAAGCAAGACTTGAGATGGTAAGGCAAGTCATTAAAGCTGAGCAAAAGTACTTTTTTCAAGTCCTTGAGTTTGTCATTGCCCTCCATTTCAGCACCAAGGCTATGGCCAACCATATCCCACTGGTCGATCCTCCGCTTGTCTTTGGTAGCCAAAATACCACTGACCGCCACAATTGCGAGGGGCAGCCCCTCGCACTTTCTTAAGATAGAATTACCGATATCCTCTAAATAAGGAGGGCATGAGTTCCCTTGGAATGTCTTCTTGCATAGAAGCTCCCATGATTCCAACAGCGGCAAAGGCTTCAAATTAAAGACTCTACCTCCAGATTCTTTGCTGGTTGTTGAGGCTACATCAGCTTTTCGAGTAGTTAGTATGACTCGGCTGCCACAAGTATTGTTAGGCAACGCATACTTCAGAGACTCCCATACGTACAAGTGCCACACATCATCGAGAACAATTAGGTACCTCCTTTTCTGCAGGAAGTCCTTGATTATTGTTTTCAGCTGATTGTTGTTCATGTTGTTGGTTCCTTGCGGAGCTGGCCTTCGGATGGCTTTGTGGAGTTGTTGGATCATGTCTTCGAGGAGTTCCCCAAGTTTGAAAGACTGAGTAACCGTGATCCAAGCACTTACTTTGAAATGCTTCTTCACTTCTGCTGCATCATAGACTTGCTTTGCCAGGGTTGTCTTCCCCAGTCCTCCCATGCCAGCCACAGAAACTACTTCTCGTCCAGAACCACCGTTGACAAGCCACCCTACCATCTGTTTTATAGGCTCGTCAATGCCAACTATATCAGTTTTCTCTAAAAGTAGAGCATCACTACGATGGTCCTCCCACATTTGACTTGCGGTTGAAGAGCTTGACCCTTGTTCAGCCATATTAAACTTGTGACGGAGTCTCCTATGAACCTCCGAGATTTTTCTGATTGTCTTGTTGATGTCTTGTAACTCAGCAGCAACTCGATATTGAGCTTTCATGTTCTTAATACAACACGAAAACCTATGGATGGAACCATAGAACCCCGTCCCATGATCATGTGCCTGGATAAGTGTAAATTCATCCAGCACATCTTCACTATCGTGAGCAATGTCTCGTACTTGATTAACCCATACTTTGACTTCCTCATCACTCTCTTCAAATGCATCAGCAACCCTCAGAAACGCGGTCATGCGCTCCAGTTCCCCTCTCAGATACACAATTTCTTCCCTAACCCCTCCCAAAAGTTGCAGATCATTTTCGAAAAGAGGTGCAACCTTGTCGAGCAGAAACTTTACTGCACTCTCTGCCATTAGCTCTCTACTGTTTTCATTACCCTTTCTTCCTCAACTGATTTTCCCAGTTTCAAAATCTATGGAGTTATACAAGTCAGGGGCAACATATAAATATTCACAAAAATTTGCAGATGCCTTATAATTCAAGTAACTGAATTGAACAAGTAACAGCGACAGGATTTTGAATTATTTGTGACGAACAATCCAATAGTCAAATTGTCGGTTAACAATAAAATCCACGAAATTTCCTAGAAAATGACTCAAATTTCAAATATTCAATTCTTTGACTTCTTATCCACAAGAATCAAGACCATTTTTCTGACTAGATGCTTAGAACTCGCGTGCATTTGCAAGTAAAGGCTAGCAGGCCTGCAATTATATATATATATATGAAAGTGACTATTTTGTATTTTAAGATGCTGCTAGGTTTGGTTGCTTCTGCAGCCATCCAATCTCAGCAACTACCGGGTGATTTCATTTGATTGTGACTATTTTGAGATCAGAAAGTCAAAGTAAAAGCTGCTTTCCCAGAAAGCCTCAGAAAGCACAAGCTGCTTTCATTTGAAATTGCTTAGTAACCTTCCAAGAAAGGAAGCTTCAGAAAGCTTCAGAAAGCACATGCTGCTTTCATTTGAAATTGCTTAGTAATCTTCCCAGAAAGCTTCAGAAAGCTTCAGAAAGCACAAGCTGCTTTCATCTATTTAAAAGGTCAGCTTAACCAAACAAAAATTTCCTCCTGATGAAAATTTTCTTCTGGTTTAATTGTACTATATATGAAACCAAAAGATCTCCACCCTCCATTTGCCCTGAGTATGGTAGAATTTTCGTAGCTTTTGACACAGAACATACTCGATTTATTATTATACTGTTTCTTGTAACTTTTATTTTACAGTAAGTAATTTTTCACTGCCCGTGCCAAGTTACTATGTTGAAGAAAAATGTTTTCACCAGACCCAACAAAAAATTGAAAGGAAAAACGAAGAAAAGTTTATTACAAATCGATGAAGTTGATGAAATATTTTCGAAAATTCTCATTGCCAGATAAAATTAAATGATTATTATTTATTATGATCGATGAAGCATTTATCTAGCAAATTACTTTTCTGTTATGATTGATAGTTTTAACGTTAACTTTTCTTTAGAAATTAAAAAAAAAAAAATACTGAGTTAGACTGAATAAAATTTAATTCCATTGCAACTAACTCAGCTGAGCATCAAAGTCTTGAAACTTTGCTCAGCCTCGTTACCGCACCATATAAATCCTTGGATCTCTTCTCCAACAGCAACACAGCTAATATAGTTAACCTGTTTTCTGATACTGATACAGCACAAAATGTCCAGAGAAGTTCAGAGAAGTTCAGGCAATGTTTTCGCTACTACTAATAATGGCAACCTGCGGTGCAACCAGATTTGCGTATAGAGATGTGATATCCATACACCTCATTTTACTTCTCACACACCTTTTTAATTTTCGATCGTCGGATCGGATGAATTGAAGAATATCAATGGACAGAAATTATCAAGAGGTGTGTAAGAAGTAAAATAGGACGTGTGAATAGCACACCCCTTGCGCATATTCTACCCCCACCGCCACTCCCGAACTTTCCTAATATCCCAGGCTTACTGCCACCTGGGATCCCAAGCCTTTTGCCACCTGGGATTCGAGGCCTATTTCCACCCAGAACTCCTGAAGTATTTCCGCCGGTATTCCAGGGCTACGGCCGCCAGTGGACTTGACTGAGATAGCGAAGTGTTGGTCTTCACTTCAGAACATTCCAGGGTGTGCACAAGAAATTATTACCACAATCTTTACCGGTAAATTTCACTAGGCCCTGCTTGTTGCAAGGCCTTCGTCGAAGTTGACGAGAAATGCTTGCTGAATTTGTTCCCGTTGTTTCCTTCCATTTCCGCGTTGCTTAAGAACAACTGTGCTAAAGTGAATGCTGCTCTTCATAATGCATCTGGTTCAAAGCATTAGTAGGCAGTTGATCTTGTTTTCACTTAGTCAGAGACATGCAGGGTTTAGGGTTTTTGGTTTTTACCTTGGGTGCCATTTTCCTTAGGTTTTGGAGACATGGATCACACTGAAGTAAGACAAAAACAGCTTATGATCTCATTAAAACAACTCTCCCACTCTATCTCAAAGAAATTGTTCCATCTTATTTTGAATTTGTGATCTATCGACGCCAGTGATCCATGAATCCAGATCCTAATGCATACGCATTTAAATCGTTAAATGCAAGCAAGAATTCACAACAATTAGAACATTTCATTCACATTTCAAAATCCAGCGGATAATTTAATCCCAGCACCGCATTAACGAATCATGATTCACAATTTGTATCATAGGCAAGCTGGAAAGTGCAAAGAGAAAAGAATTTAACATAACACTGGAGATTCAATTACAACTGTCCAACCAGGATGAACAAGAGGAAAAGAAAACAATGGGATGTACAATGAAAGCAGAAAAAGTATAAACTGCGGTTTTCTGCTCGACAATCCTAAGTATTTTATTTGTAAAAATATACTGACAACTAAGAATAATTCACAAGTAAATGAAGATTCACGTATATGAATTTTTCAAAAAAAAAAAAAAAAACAAACCAAATGTGTAATTTCAGTTCCGTTTGACATCAAGGACAATGCTTGTTGATCAGTTCCATGTACCTGGTGAGGAGAAAAGACATTTTCAGGTTCATTGCTGAGTTAGAACCCCAAATCCCATATCTAAAAAAGATAGCCGGAGCAAAGCAGGACCATGAAGAAGCAAGTGGGATATGTAGTGCACGGATTTAAGTATAAAGTAGTGCAAGCACAGCTTGCAGAAATCAAGGTGGTATTCGGCTAATCAAGAATCTGAACAGGAAAATGTCGTTTTACTCTCTTCCACTTGGAAAATTACAAGCCACACAAAAACCTGAAGAGAATAAAAGTGAAAACTGAGACAATAGAAACAAAAAAACTTGCCAAGCATATATTCAGAAAATGCATCTATCAAATACTTTTAAGTCCCAGATTCTATGTAACGAGCATGGAAGGGAATAAACATACAACTAAGAACCATCAAGGCCGAACTAATTAGACTAGTCCATAGATAGATAAACCTGGGTTTATTAGTTTTTCATTACTTTTGAGTCATTTTTAAAGACTGGTTAATACAAACAAATAAGCACGTGCACATAAGCACAAAAGATCAACCCAGGCAAAATGATAAAATTACAAAACAATCAGAATAGGACCATATCCCTGTTCCAAGTGGCAGGTTCATCGTGAGATGGACAGCAGGAGAAAGCAAATTTTTTAAAGTAAAAAGATAATATGAAAACGCAGTTGCAGAATGTAAAATTGCTTACAAGACAAGACAATCTAGAGAAAGAAGACTTCCAACTAATAAAGGCCCAACATTCTCAGTTCTGTCACATGGCTGGGGTCTAGCTCGGGGGCATTCTTATTATCTTCTCGGTCTTCTACAACATATTCCTGGCATCATAAGATTTCTTGATTCAGTTGGAGAAATATAACAAATGCTTCAAAATAACTATTACACCTAGTTTACGAATCTTGGAATCTAGAAGGGTAACATAAAATTTAATAATAAAACTAAGCTTTCTTTGATAGTCTTGGCGTTTAGAAGTGACAAGGGAAAGATGAATATAAAGCAAGAATTTCAAGAAAACGATCAAGGAAACTTGAGTCCAAAATGGACAAAGGTACCAGTTAACTTTCGGTTGGAATAATTACAGTAATCCTCTGTCCACATATTATGTCTATGAAACATCATGTTAAGTGCAGAGCATACTCAACGATATAGTTCAGTTAAATGCCAATAAAATTCAGTACGAACAGTTTGAGTTCATATTAAGTTCCAAGTATCAGGAACTAGACCTTTGTTAATTCTTGTTTGGCAAGAACATGATAATGCCGTTCGTTGATTCTCTGTCCGCATATTATGGCTATGAAGAAGCCATAAAGCAAACCCACCAAAACAATAGCTAAAACTGCAACAAGGTGAACAAAATAATGCATGCAATTAGTGTGATCAGCATGTCTTACACCAAGAACATAGATATATTATAGGGAGTTCAGAGGGCAGCAAGAAGTTTGCATACCAGCCATAGTATAAAACCCATACGGGTGCTCCTCATAACCAAACATCTCCCTTAGTTCGTCTCCATAAAATTTGTATACCATCACTCCCAAGAATGCCACAATCTGATGAAAAAAAATATCGCAAAATTTTAGGAATGACAAACCAACGGGGAAGTCTTATCTCATCTGCTTCCATAAGAGTTTGGCACTTGATAGAACTAACTGAACAACTAACAGTTATGTTTAGAGTTACCAATAGTACGAACATTTAAATTTGTAACACAATTAGGATCAGTTCTAACAGTACCCTTATATAATAATTACAAAACATAACAGAACCTTGCAAACATGTGCTAAAACTGACTCTTGCTAACCTGTCAAACAACACTTTCAGTTTCTAATTAATTCTTCCGTGGCCTGTGCAAGCTGAATAAAACTTAAGGGAAAATGCCCAACTTCTTTTAATTGGGAAGAACTACCTATTTGATAAAATGATATGATTCATGAATCATATTAATTTGTTGTAAACATACCAGCTGCACGATGATGAAAATGAATGCATGATCTCTAGCAACAAGGAACTGAAATTTCAATCTCAACCACCAGCGATCAGAAGGGACATTCGCTCGTAATATGAACACTGCCCTGCATTCTGTACAATGAGCAAAAGCAAAGCCCTCCTGAAGAAATAAATACATGAATAATTAATACCAAGCTTCTACAAAAGAAACAGCCTTTAAAGAAATAGATAAAATAGATAAACATAACAAGAATTTCACATCAATTATGTGCAATTTCATTATTCTAAAATGAATATTTAAAAAAAAAAAAAAAAAAAAAAAAAGGCATTTCCAGATCACAAGGAAAGAGCAGGGATGAAGAAAATCTTCACCTTTGTTGACCTCCAATTATCAAGACATGATCTATGGACATACTTCTGAGTACCTCTGCAATGGCATGGAGCAATTAAGTCTTCCCCTGAAAGACAAGTAAACAACACTAAGATATTTGAATTTCCTAGCCACCAAATAATTATAGATGGAAAAGGTATTGAACTATAATTACTTTAACCAGCAATTACATGTGTATCCTCTACATCATCTAAATCAGAAAACTAATGGTGACAGTAAACTGAAGATACACAGAGAAATGCAAGACATATAGGACCTTCTTCAATATCAAGGCAAATACGACACTGTGGTTGCTCTGCGTTCACCAACTTAGAATTTTCATTGACGTCAAAAATTTGTGCCTCTTCATCAACAGCAGGAAAGTCACCTAGCACAGCTTTAATTTCACATGAGGATGAAGATTCTGCGGGTCTCTGTGAAATGTCAGACTGACATAAGATGGGTTCGCATTCTGTAATATCTTCCTTATGAGTATCATTTGGTACTAATTGCATTGCGAAGAATGTCGAGTCAGGAATACAAAGAGAAAATCATTGCCAGTGCTATAGCTCCTACAGACCATTTCAATCGGAACTAAGAAAAAGCCTATAAAAAAAAAAAATAGACGAAAATTAGAATGGTTAGGAACTTGCACTACATGTCAAGTTGTTGCTACTAGTTCTACAGAAATTAAAATCACGTTCCTGCACTAAAAATAATAATTTGATATTCCAAACTGCTCGGAGAACTTTCCATAAAACATCCATATGCACAAGTATGAAATAGATACATAGTGTTTAGACTACCAATATCCATGTAACAACATCGGCAGAAATTTCGAGAATTCAAAAGAAGCAAAATGCTAACTATGGAGATACCAAATACCAATCAAGAACAATAGGAGCATAACAAACGATTATTACTGATTACGTTCGTAGTATGATGCCAAGCTCGTGCAACCAACCTAACGTGTAACATGGCCTAATTACTTGACTTATGGTAAAAAAAAAATTATCCCTCTCTGTTTTTATTTATCGAAAAAGAAGACCATTTGAATTTTCTTAAATGGATAATCCATGATAATTATATATAATTAGCATAAAATTTCCAACTTTATTAATCTGGTCTGTATAGCATCAACTTCAGCTCCAGCTTTCAGTCCATACAAAAAAGCTTCATTTCTTCCCAGAAAAATAAATCACTAAATAAATAATCAAGCATGCAATTAATAAATTAAATACATAATCAAAACCCTAAATATGTGATTAACGTATACAAACTTTTCACCAAAAGGAACGCGAGTCAATCAACAAATTAACAAAATTGCGAGCAAAGATTGAGCTTTTATGAGATCAATTATGGGGCCTGACCTGAAACTTAGCAGTAGGGGACAATCGCCATGGTACTGAAACAATGCAGGCATCGATTGGATGGAGAATTGAGAATCCAATTCTAGGGTTCTTATGAATTGAAGTGAAACGGTGGACTTTTAAGGGTCCGACGATGATTGACAAAATTTGGGATTTTTAGGGGGTTTTTTTTTTTTTTTTTTTTTTTTTTAAATTTTAAATTGTATTCGCATTCGGAGGCAGGCCTTGAAACGTAAGGAGGCACTTTTTTGCTAACAATCAGAAAGTGACAATGGTTGAGATAAGTGTTATCTTTGCCTTATGGTGTGAATTCTAATTATGTCAGTTCTTTAATCTAACAAATTCATCATATTTGGCACAAAATAAATAAAAAAATTTATACTTAAAAACAAAACCATAGCAAACAAAAAAAATGATTTTAGATGCATAAAATAATCAAGTCAATAAATAATGTCGTGTTTGGATTCAAATTCTTTTTTTTTCTATAATTTAAATAAATTATCTATGTTTCTTAAAAAAAATAAAAATAAACAAGGTCGTGTTTGATCATCATATGTTTTTTAGGTAATTATTACATTTTTATGAACAGTTGAAATGTAGTGCACTCTGAATTCAAAAGTAAAAAATGCAAATACTTTTTTTATAGGAGAAAAAATTGCATATGCATATTGTTTAAGTGTATTTCTGTACTTCAAATTTGATTAAGTCATATACTACGATTGTTGTAATATTATGTATTTATGGGGTTGAATTCTAGTCGTCCCTAAGTTAAAAATAATAATACCATTGAACCATAGCATTAGAAACAGGTGCAAAAGAATTTAAAAGAGTACAAGTTACTATTCGTACCATGTTTTATTTATATTCACTTGAAAGTAAGATATTTTAATTTAATTTTCGTTAATCTCACGTTTCATACTACATTATTATGACAAGCTCTTTGTGTGGTTTAGCTCAAGTTGTACAAAAAAAGTACTTAGAGGTGTGAAGTTGGAAACTTTGTTCTTAAATAAAACTTACGACCGGCCTATTGCATTACGAGCAATTGGCATTTTGCATTTTTATTAATTTTTTTGTTTTAAAAATGTGAAAGAAAACTAATAAAACCCCCACAAAACGTGGGGATTCTTCAATTATCATCATGGAAGTTAAATTACTATTTTACTTTTTTTAAAACTAAATTCTCTTCCTTACATGACTAAGTCGGACTAGACTGGTTTCGGGGACTAAGCTGGATTGGTTTGACATGGACCCATTATTAGGAAAGAAATGAAGTAGGTGTTGGGATGTGAAGAAGAGGAAGCGAAGGTCTTAGTAGTACCAACGTTTTTGGGGGGACTCACTAAGACCTCTTAGCGAGCTACTTAGTCCACACGAGTCCCGTTTAGTACCATTAAACTTAGCCCATGCACAGAACAAACGCTGGACTAGACTAACAAGTAGTCTAGTCTAGTCCAATGAAGGCTAACGAGGCCAAACAAACACCCCTTTAATGTCGTAACTAGTACATGTCTACACACAAAGTGTGTGAGATTTTTTTTTTTTTTAAATTGAAGAGAGAGGAAAATATTGAGAGAGAACATGGGAGTGGGAGTGAAGTGGGAGGGAGATAGGTTTAATTTATTTATTGAAATTAGAGATGTTAAAATTATCTATAGGTGATGCTTGTATAAAAATTACAAAATTTTATTTTGTGAAATTACGTTAATACTCTTAATTTTATTGTTGTGATAGAAGACTAAATAATCTTTTTATTTTATTTTAATTGACAAAGAAGATTATATTAATATGTACTTTAAACTAGAAAATGACGCCACTTAGTGGTTTCTTAGATAATTATTTGTCAAAAAAAAAAAAAAAAATAGAGAACGGCCATTTTAAGTATTTCAAAAGCTTCACCAATCTATGGTATTGACTTTATAGATAGATAGATAGACACACAGATAGATATAGGTATACTCAATTTGGAAAACGATTCCATAGTTTTTGTCTTTTTGCCATGTAATGACAAATAAATAGGCGAAACGATATCATATATGTAGAACGCGTGTTCTTGTTCTTTGTTGCGCATATAGGCCCCTTAGATCTTATTATAATAAAATTCTCTCTTTTTTTTTTAAAAAAAAAAAACTAATGAAAATAGTTTGAGCAAAAATATGATTTTTCGTTAAATACATCTCCCATGTATTGTTTAATACATCTCACAATCCTTTTTTTTTTTTTTTTTATAGTATTGAACGACTATTTAGGTCCTATAAGGTTTTATGAAAAATAAATTTTTTCTGAATGCACCCGAGATCATAACACATTCAAAAAATGCAAAACCTTCAATCCACAATAAACAAAGTGATAGATGTGTTCACGCTTTGTTATAAAAATTGGGTTCATCAAGCTTTTCAATGTTTTGAAGCAAAAAATAATCAAGAAGATTACGAATGTGAACGTGGATCAAGAAGGTTAGAATGACAAAATTACCACCGAGGCACACCAGGATTCCCACGCGTATACAACGGACAATAACAATTCAATCAAGGAAGAGTCAAAGGTGATCAAAATGGTATTTATTCAAAACTCTCTCATCACTCATCATCAAATCCTCACTTAAAAGCAACTCTCAATTTTCCTATTCAATGTGGGATTAATTGCCAAGTTAATTGCAAGATATTATTTCACATAATATCTTACAATTACACTCACAACTTGACCATATGTGGCTGACCCCTATTCTCCAAATAGAACTGGTCACTTCCCTATAAATAGTCATGTTTTCCCACTAAAAGGCGAGGCCATTCTCTCCCCAAAAATTCCTAAACACTTTTTTCTCTCAAATTCTAACTTTGGCATTGGAGATTCTTTGCCCAAAGCCCCCCCATTCATTGTGGGCGGCTTTTTGGCCTTAATATTAGGTGTTATTATTTTGCAGGTGCATTTTCGTCAAATGAGAAGATGGCGGAAATTTGCATCCACAAATTGGTACTTTCGTCGAGAGTTTGACTCACACGCTCAAATAAGACTCTCGCATTCAAAGTTTCTCATTTCTCGTTTGTTCATAAATTTTTCATATGTTCTTATTTCTAGAATTTTTTATTAAATTTCCTACATTCAAAGATTTGGATCAAATGATGGAGATTGCGATATAGCCCTACCATGACGTTCCACAAGGCTCAACGCGGCAACAAGATGAACAACTTTGCCACCATGGAGCACCACCACCATGGCAGCCACGGGGACCACCATGGTAGTAGGGAGTGGGCCAGCTCCACTGCAGCGTCCCAAACCTAGGACCTAGCCCAGGAGGCGGCCCAATCTGCAGCCCACGCCGCAGGGCAGCTGAGCTAAGCCCAGTGCGAGCAGGCTCAAACCACTGCCCAAGCAACACATGCCCAAAACGCATTGCAGGTCTGAGCTGCACCGACCATCCCCTTGGTCTAGATCCAAAGAACTTCCAGTGTAACACCGCGCATATGCGCCCTGCACGTGGCACAGCCCACTTCTGCGGCCCAACCTACTTGGCGATCTCGACCGATCTAAGACCGATTCAACCGTCCCAGTTTTAGATTTCTGGATTGACGATTAAACCGGGGGCATTTTCACCTCGAGTTATGCGGATTTAACCTATCTCGACTCAAATTTTGCACCTGAAGTCTACTACACTTTTACCACCCATGGAGAAACCTACCATCCAAGCCATTCTATCACGCATGGCGAACAACACTTGTCCTGACAAGTCATAGAGTTGAAAAATGCCCTCGTACAGCAAACGACCTTGGTGAATTAGCTTTTGTAGCATGCTCTAGATGAGGTGTCCCGAAGTAGAACAAGGGCAAATAACGAACCTCTTCAGCAGCGTCCCGGCAAGCAGTCCATCAACCAACCATGATTCGAGTGTTCTGGCAGTTTACGCTCCCGCTTAAGTCCTCAAGATAGCGTATACTCTCGTATTAGCGTGCGGAGAAGCATGCACTCCCAATCAAGCCCATGAACGAGCATACGTTCACGGTTGAGGCCACACTCCGATTATCAACATGGACAACCTTTCAGGTGAAGTGTTCATTTATAACTAGGCTCGTAAAGAGCATTCTCTACCTCACATTGAAGTAGGCAACATGGTAGACGAAGAGAAGCAGTCATTCAATCTGACTCAAGTTTAACCAGCATCTTGTTCGCTTACCAAGAACGTGCCACATGCACCGCAGTCGCTGCATAGATGAGTCAAGCATAGGGAAGAGCAACCTAGACCAATAGGTCACGATTGAGAGCAATCGAAAGTTCTACTGCCGTAGTAGAGGCAATTTCAAGAAGAAGTTGAAAGGTTTTTGATTGAACGATTACGCAATTTTCAGTGCAATAAGGCTTATAACGATGTGTTTCGACGAGACATGACCAACATAAGCAGGTCACTATTCATAGATGAGATCGAGCAGACAGATCCACCTCATGGGTTCCTTATGCTTCACCGTACAAAGGAGATGAAGATCTAGATTGACATGCTTGTGTGAAATTTTTTTGCCACAACTCTACAAGGCGAGGTGCAAAACTGGTTTCGCACCCTACCGTCGCAGTCGATATAGAGTTTCAATGAACTTTCCTTAGATTTCACTAAGGAGTATTCGTCTAACTGCTCAATCAAAAGGACATCCGACCATCTTTTCAACATTGTAAAAGACCATTGGGAGACAATTCGCAACTATGTCAAAATGTTCAAAGCGGAGAAGGCCAAGATTATTGGCTGCAACGAAGACATAACAACGACAACATTCAGAAATGGGCTTCACCAAACACCCTTTATTCGGAAAATTGATCATGGGAGAAGAACTGACATTGGCAACTTCGGCGAACAAGACCTCGCATGCTAAGGATTATCCAGTTTCATATGCAATTTCTACCTTCCAGCACAGTTAATCCATTTCTTTATTCTCAATGAAGATTCAAAGAGTTATTCATAAGCCTGGCTCAACCGCTATTTACAACAATTGCTCAAACCTTTATCTAGGTATACTCTCTAGTGCGAGAGGATAAACTAATTGCTCTACAGTGCGAGAGGGTAAACTAATTTCCCGACACCTATTTGGGTCTGCTCTTTAGTGTGAGAAGATAAACTAATTGCTCTCCAGTGTGAGAGGGTAAACTAATTCCCCGACACCCATTGGGTCTACTCTCTAGTGCGAGAGAATAAACTAATTGCTCTACAGTGTGAGAGGATAAACTAATTCCCTGACACCCATCTGGGTCTGCTCTCTAGTGCAAGAGGATAAACTAATTAATTTCCAATACAAGAAGGCCATACAGCTCAAAAGATCGAATGCTTGAAGACCAGCTAAGCAGCAAATGTTGAGGAGGCAGTAGCCACTTCGTGCTCAACAGTTCGCTCATCCGACACTTCATCTTCAATAGCTCCAATCTTGATAGCTCCGTCCTTGATTGCTCCATCTATGGCAATTGAGAAATCAAACTCAAGCAGTTTCCTCATTCTTGGCAAGTAGCCTAGATGTGACAGCCTAAACCGTGGCCCATGCCAGGCCACTTCCTTGGCCCATGCCGAGCCAGCCCTTGGCTTTAGTCAAGCCGAGTAGCACAAGTTTTGGTCCCTACCACACCACATTCTTGGCCCATGCCAAGCCGACTTTTGGGCCCTGCCAGTCGACGTGTCGCACCACCCCGACGACTGCCCTGTGGTAGCACCACCCAAGAAGAAGACATAGAAAATTAAGTTTTTCTTACATTGGTGCGGCGCAAAGCAGACAAAGAAATCAACGGAAGACGGTTCTTTGCACGGGCAAGGAAATAAGAGTGCTAGAGGAGGGGGAACAAATATCCTTTAGCTTTCTCTCTTTCTTGTAGGGATAAATAATTGCCCTCCAAAGTTGATTTAATCCCCTACCTAATGTAGGCTTAAATAGGCTTTGGAGGTGATTTATTTCCCTTTCCTAGAAGAATCTAATTCCAAGTCCAGGTGGGAATCTGCATCAAAGTTGGAGATCTCTACACCTGCGGCCCTTTCCTGCGAGCAGCCTAACAGGTGTAGGGGCATTTGGGGAGCAAAAAATAATCAAGAAAATTATGAAGGTGACACTTGGACTTTAGGGTTAGAAAGACAAAATTACCCTCGAGGCACACTGAGTTTCCCACGCGCATACAACGGACAATAACGCCTCAATCAAGGAAGAGTCAAGGGTGATCAAAATGATATTTATTCAAAACCCTCTCATCACTCCTCATCAAATCCTCACTCAAGGGTAACTCCCAATTTTCCTATTCAATTTGGGATTAATTGCCAAGTTAATTGTAAGATATTATTTCACATAATATCTTGCTATTACACTCACAATTTGACCATATGTGGCTGGCCCCTATTCTCCAAATAGGGCTAGTCACTCCCCTATAAATAGCCATGTTTTCCCACTAACAGGCGAGACCATTCTCTCCCCAAAAATTCCTAAACACTTTTTTCTCTCAAATTCTAATTTTGACATCGGAGATTTTTCAGCCAAAACCCCCCTCCTCCAAAAAAATAATAATTGTGGGTGCGTCAGACTTTTGGCCTTAATTTTAGGTGATAATTGTGGATGCGTTAGGCTTTTGGCCTTAATTTTAGGTGTTATTATTTTGTGCATTTTCGTCAAATGAGAAGATGGCAGAAATTTGTTCCACAAATGTCTTAATAATATGAGGAAATTGTCGTTTCTTAACTAATTTTTGTTCCTACACTTTTTCCGTGCATTTTGTTCATGGTCGAGAAGACGAATACACAAGTTTCTTTTTTTTTTTTTTTTTTAACGAACCAAAAGTTTGATATGGGATTTAAGTGGTGAGTGTGAGGTCTACATAGAGAGCGTGGTGTGTGAGAGTAATATTAGAAACTCATCTCTCCGATTTTCAATCAGAAAATTAATTGTCACAAAGAACATAAATTGTTACAAAACAAGATCAAAACACTCATTTCACTTTCACTGCATGCAGGTCTTCAACTAGTTGAGGGAAAAAAAAACTCCATCTGATGAGAGATGAATCGTAATGGTCAGTTTAGCAGAAATCAAGGATGTGTTAGATGCAAACACTTGCAGCTTCAAATCTCTGGTAAATCCAAATCCCTGGAGGTAAAATTAAAACCCCAATGCAAGCAAACATATATTACAGCTTTACAGTTTGACTGCTCCTGATTTTTTCTTTGCTTTTCGCGTTTCCATTTTGTATTTGTAATGAGAAAAATCTACTGAGAATTAGCGCCACAGTTGCAGCATCTTTCTATGAACCACGCTAACCTGTTTTTCACAAAAGGAAATAGATAGCAGTATTACTCAAATTAACTGAATAAATTGAATAAATTGAACGCAAAATGCTATATCGTTAACTTTGCGGAATAGTTGCAAGGTGCTTGTAACTCAGTATAAAAGAGCGTTTACCCTTGCAAGTGAAACAGTTGAATGGGTTGACTTTCTTAACTACCAGTCAACTCATGGATAGGTTAATTTCCTTCTGAGGGTCTTCAAACTGTTTTTAACAATCTACATTTTTCACTGTTAACTGTCTGTAGTGGTTGTTTTTTACCTGTGTTTTCTACGTTTGCTCAGCTCTGATTGGTAGGTCTAGGCTTTTGGATGACTGGATCAAAGAAAGTAAATCAGTGTGGACTGCATACAGTAGCTTGAATTGCATTGCCATGATTCTCAAATAAGGAAATATAAATCATTTCCCATTTAAATGTTGGAAAATCAGTGTTTAAAAACTAATTATGTTTCTGTAATTGATAACTACTGCAAAAACTGCACCGATTCAAAAATCTGAAATTCTAATGCAAAAATACATGTTTTGATTAACTAACTAATCTATATTAACAGTTCCCCTAAATGCTAATTAATGCTGTTGCTATCCAAGTTTGTAATGAGATAGAAAGCACTTACAAGTCTACTAGACATGAGCTCTTGGAATCCGAATCCTCGGGTGGTCTCCGATAATCCAACGAGAATGGTGATGGTGCTGGAGGACTACTAGGGAGCTTCTGACCATGAGGCAGAAGAGGGAGGTTCTCCGCAGACGCATGGCCCGAGGGAGGCTGAGAGAAAGGCGGCGAAGGGGAGGGAGACGGTGAGAATATGTACCTTTGGTTGCCGGGTCCTACACTTATTGGAAGTGGAGAGGGAGGTGTTGAAGGAGATGATGTTGGAGAAGCGTAGGCTTTTTTCTCATCATCGTCCTCCATTTAAATATTTTGCACAACATGCAGATTAATGTTCTCTCTCCCTCTCTCTTTCTTGGCCTTGGAAGTATGTAATTAGGACAATATGTCCCTCTGAGGCAAAGTCATGACTTTCCCGGGAGTTTTTTTTTTTTTTTTTTTTTTTGAATCTTTGGTATAACCTAACTGTCATGGGCACGCTCCTCAACTGCTCATTCCTTGTTTCATGCACATATTCACATGCCAATTTGGTAAGCTGGTTTACTTTTCTTACTAGGTCTTCTAGTTTGTACTTGTTACATTAGGCATTGACTAATTTTGTAGTGTTAATGTTTACTTAACAGGAATGAGAATGTAAAGACTCAAGAAATATTGGAATAGAAAAGTAAGGAAAGGGAATTGGATCGACTGATCTCCCAGAACTTATATGATCATGATTATCAAGTATTGGATTACGATGTTTAAGGAGAAACTCACACTTTTCCTAATTGTATGTGTCAATAAACACATGAACAGTTAGGAATTGAGGCATGTTTACTCATCATGAGAAGGAATGAAGATATGAAGGATTGGATATGAGATAAACAATACCCTGGATACCAGAAACAATTTGGATCCACTTTTGTTTTTCATTTTTTTTGGTACACATGAACTAGAATCATACACACTCCTTTTAGTCCTTCATTGTAAGCAAATACATGAATAAAAATGATATCCATTCATTATAAGTAAACATGCCTTGAACATATTTTAACACTTACACTCTGTTTGGATAAAAAAAAAAAAAAAAAAGACTATTAAGGAATTTTAAAATGACAGAAATTGAAATGACGAAGTTTAATTTTTTTGAATTTTTGATTTTTTTTGTTTGGTTAACCTAAAAGAACAATAGAATTTAAAGATGGAATTTGTTAATTTTAAACTCTCACTCATAGAAATTGGGAAATGACACATATTTACACAAAATTTAAACCTGAGAATTGAAGATCCCAAATTCTAAGTTTTTTTTTAATTTCATGCGGAAATTCTAAATTTCTATATTTATAAATCTAAACAATGGAATTAGTGCATGTCAATTTATAAATTCTATTTTATGTCAAAATTCCAAGTTTATTTCTCTCATCCAAACATAATATTATCTTTTAGTAAATGTAGGAAATCATAATGATTTTATTCTCGTTCTCTATAAGTAAATTGTGTATCATAGTTTAGTTGGACACGAATTCTGTTTTTAATAGGTTTGTACCAAGGTCCTGGACCCTATATATGAGTACAGGTTGTTTGCAGGTTGATTAAAAGCTGTGACCTACCAAATTTAGATTGATCAGAAATTTCAATAGAGAATGAGAACGAGATTTGATTCTATTTTAATTTTAAAGAAATTTCTGATCACCGAGAACAAAATCCTCTCAGGCCTTGTCACAAACTGTGATTTTATACAACACTTACATATAGGGAAAGAGATCCTCGTTGGATCTCTTCCATCAAAACCACCAGATCAAGTGATTCGGGTATTTGAAATTTGATCCAACGGCTAAAGTTATTATAACTTTTAAAGGGGTCCCAGTTTTTCGCCGTTGGATCAAATTTCGAAGGCCCGGATCACTTGATTCGGTAGCCTTGGTGGAAGAGATCTGAAGAGGATCTCTTTCCTACATATAGGATTTTTAGTTAAAATTGTCTATATATTTGCAATTGATAGGAGTGGTCCCTAAGTTTATCCACATTAAATAAGAATGAAATTGCAAAAATACCGTCAATTTTTGTGCAATCATTTTCTTATTGCTTATTAAATTGAGAATACTTTTGTCATTATAGTCCTTATTTAACATATTTTTTTATGGACGGATCAAAATGATTGATGGTGGCCAAACTGACACACCCCGACCTAAATCAAGGCGTGCTGGCCGTCACACCTTGATTTCGGTTGGAGTGTGTCACAAACTCACGGACCACTTCTATTGATTTCAAATCTCAGGAATAAAAGTGAGGAGTTAAACTAATCTTAGGAATCATTTTGCCTAAAAGGCCCTTGCATATATTATATTACTATATGCTCTTTCATTTATATTTGATCAGGCCCTTTATGCAAAGAGATTCTCATTTTTTGAAAGAAAAAAAAAATGAGATTAGGTGTGGGGCCCACTCCACATCGATTTTCAACGATCCGAACCATCTATTTTGTAGATTATCCTTGCAAAAATTCAATTCAATCCAAAATCATTTGCCTATTTAATTATCAAAATAAAATTTCATTGTTTCTTTTGCAATTAAGCATTCATTTATTTCTTTGAACCCAACTAGATATCTTAAATATTTCTGATTTGGCTAATATTTTGCAAATATGATCTATGAGATGCAACTTGAAAAATAGACAGTTCGGATTATTCAAGTTCGATGTGATGTGGACCCCACAAATATTCTCTATTTTTATAAATAAAAAAATAAAAATCCCTTCCTTTAACAATTTCTTATATTTGATCTTGACCAAAAGAACGGCCACAATTAAATAAAAATATGTGAGAGGCTAAAACATATGTGTATTTATTAAAAGTAGAAGTGGTATAATTATGATTATCCTTCTACATTAAAAACAGGTTAACACAACTTTTTTGGTGGCCACATTTATCTCTACACATGCTTAGTTGTCAATGTTCACGGTGACTTTATACACTAGTCGCCAAGATTTTCACACTTCTGCTTATCGAATCTGAAAGACCGTTCGGGTTCATGTATAGTCACACCACTTTCATTACTTTAGCTTGATATTGATTTCATTTCATTCGCTTGTTTATATGTGTATATATGTATACATTGTACAACATTCTATTTTTAAAATTATGTTTGCAAGTTCTTATAATATTTGAATGCCTTTTTCTTTTTCAAAATTTAAATAGAAATATTGGAGGAAACCAAAACTTGATTTGACAGTTTTATGACTTAAATAAAAAAGTGAACATACAAAATATTCTTTTGAATTTTCTATGGATTTTCTTACGATTTATCTTGAATTCTTTGTGGATGAGACGGTGGTGAACATCTATCTGAAGGCTTTTGATTTGACTAGTGTCAACGATGGTGTTTGGAACCAAATTGGTCATAGGTCCTGAATCATGGCCCAATCACATGCAAAGTCCCAGGAAGGCTCTAAGCTATCAAAGGAAAGAAGGCTAAAGACTGAAGCTCAGCCTAGAATCACTATATTGGTTGACGTGGCAAGATTGAGCGACAAACTTATGCAATTGGACAGGCATAGGGGTCATTAACGAAGGGTTTTGAGGAGGGCAAAATCACCTTTTTCGGGGTAAAACCCTGTAATTTGGAGATGGTTAAGTGTGAAATGACAACTTGCCTGTTACATCAAGCCAAGGAGGGTTTACCCAGAAAGATGAAGGTTCCATAAAAGCTACAAAAGAACACAGAGAACAAGACACTCAACTCAACTCTCAGAAAAGCACTTAAAAGCTTTGTCGCTTTCTTTACATTCTTTTTGCACCCAGTCATTTCCTGTTAGTTATAACTTTGTTGCAGCCTTTTCCCAGTATCGATTTAATTGGTAGCCATTACTGCAATCTTTTTCCTTTTCCAAAATCTGGTTCTTACTTTGTAAATTTGCAGAAGAAGTGCCCGAGAGGCAAGGACCCGAGCCCACGAGGTTTATAACATGTTCGAACTCACTTGTTTACCTTTTTAATGCATTGATTACTGTCTTTATTGCTTCATATTTACTCTCGGGTTCATTTATCACATTCTAACATAGATTGTTTTGGTCATTTATTACTTGAAAACTTCACTGTCGCTCTAATTTTGTTGTTCACTGTCAGTTTTGATGCAATCATGGACTAAACTTGGTAATCTTGACCTAATTAAAACTTGGTAAATAACATCAATACAAGTCCTTGATCTCAAGGCAGTAAAAATGACATTTTATGGACTTAACCCCTCCATAACCAATCTTTTGATAGAAGAGGTCATTTTACTTGTGGGGCAAGTAATCAATCTAATCATGCCCGAATGACTTACAGTATGTTGGTCTTGGCCAACAATGGCATGCTCAGCATACATCTAGTTTCGATAGATAACCTGGGACCCTAGCTAAAGGCTCCACAGAGGCATCTTTCAAGCTAGTCATCACTTCCACCATACACACAAGGGGAGTTGTGCAAGACACATCCAAGGCTAAACAAGTGTTGGTTGTTTCAGTTGAATGTGGAGGCGAAGCTACCACATTTGTCGAACTAACGACAGTGTTTGGGTTAAACTGAGAACCATCGCATATGATGGTATGGGGATACTATAAGTTTGGTGAAACATGTTATTTGATCGGTTTTTATACCCTGTAGTGTATTTGTTTATGCACACAAAAAGATGAGCAAGAAACGTTTATATAATCAACAAAATTACATTAGGCCAGTTTGACTAATTCTGTTAAATTCAACGAAGCTACATTGGGTGACACACATGCACTTCCCACCTCTTTCTTGTTTAATGTCGACTTGGAAAATTTCTGTTTGGGCCGTTTGGTAATTCTAGTATACTAAGTGATGTCACACTGGGTGGCACATGTTATTCCTGGCTAGTGATACAGACTGAGGGACTGCTCGAAACAGATCGAATCGACTTGAGGTAAATCTCGGTTCACTAAACATAGCTTTTTTAAACAAAGTAACTGATTTTTTTTCCAATGATATGATGGTTGCTAGCCTGCCTGGGCTGCGTTGCTCGTGAATGGCCCTGTAATTGCCTAGGCATGCAAAGCCTCGTGATGACCTATGTTAAAATATGCGACAAACAGCGACGTTTGAAATTTTGGTTTTAAAATTTCATCTTATGCTCGTTTATTAAGACATTGCATTTGAAATCTTTTGACAAAAGAGATTTCTTAATAAAGAGATGTGTCTCATATATGGTGGTGGTGGTGGTGGCGGTGGGGGTGGATGAGATGGTCATGGTACGTGGTGGTGGCAACATGGTAGTAGAAGTGGTGATAATGATAGTTATTGCATCATGACGGATGGTGGAGTATATTATCAAAGAGTTGAGAAAAATGAATCCATCCAAATCTTAGGGGGAGAGGTTGATTTTGGTATGACAAAAACTTATTATAAAATCACTCAAAGACCATCAAATCCATGACTTTTTAAATTTCATTAAAATAAATGAAAT